AAGGATAACGGAAAAAAAAGTGGCAAAAAAAGTTATACATGATGGGCTAACTGTCTATAACGAAATTGAAGAGTGTTAGAGTGAAAATGTTGGTTTTTAGATTAAACGTCCTCCCCGCAGCCTCCAGCAGCGTCAGATCGTATATGTATTGTTCGAACGCTCGCGAACCGAACACTTTGGACACCGTCGACATCTGAGGCACTATCTATGACCATGACTCTGTCCTGCTGCTCCAGTACCTACCATAAAATCAAATTTGTTAGTCGTTGAGTTAACTCGAAATTGTAAGAAAGATATAGACATAGATAGAGAGTTACTGGGGTGTGCATCTTCCTCTTGCTCTGGTGTAGAGAAACCCTTGTGCTCGTTGCTAAGAAGAAGGCGATTTTGTACTAAATTAATCATAAAGAGGTAGTGGAGCTCGATGATTTCACGGCGGAGGGTTTCGTGGCTAGTGTTGGGGACGATGATTTGGGGCTTCTGGAGCGTATTAATTATGGGGGTTAAAGATTATAATTAGTTTTAGGGTATTATTTTAACTTGTTAGTTTTGGAGGGTATTTGGCCTAATTAACCCAAAATTCATTCCATTTCCGGGTCCAATTTGGCTTCGACTGTAGTTCGAGAAATAAGCGGCCAACGGCCCCAAAAAAAACATAAGAACCACCGCCGCCGCCTATTATCCATCACTCTCCACAAAACAAAAAAAAAAAAAAAAAATGGCCGCTGCCGCTGCCACTGCCACCACATTCTCAGAATCCTCCGCTTTTAAACTCGTCTATTCCCGCCCCAATTCTTCCTCTCTCACCGCTTTCTCCTCCCTCAAACTCCCCTCCGCTGCTAATTCTCCAAACTATTCCTTCAAATCCTTGAAATCCTAGCTCAATCCACAACCGCACCACCGCATCACTAGCCCTCTCCGTTCCACCACAACCACCCCCGACGCCGCTTCCACCGTTACTACATTCCACGGGCTCTGCTACGTTGTGTGCGACAACATCGACACTGACCAAATCATCCACGCCGAGTACCTCACTCTCGTCCCCTCCAACCCTGATGAGTACGAGAAGCTTGGTTCTTACGCCCTCATTGGCCTTCCATCTTCGTACGAAACTCGCTTCATTGACCCGGGGGAAACCAAATCCAAATACTCCATTGTGATTGGGGGAGATAATTTCGGCTGTGGCTCGTCCCGAGAGCATGCCCCTGTAGCCCTAGGTGCCTCCGGAGTGGCTGCTGTTGTAGCTGAGTCGTATGCTCGGATTTTCTTTAGGAATTCCGTGGCCACTGGGGAGGTTTATCCACTGGAGTCGGAGGGAAGGCTGTGCAATGAGTGTAAGACTGGGGACGTTGTGACCATTGAGATTGGGGAGAGTGACAGCAAGTTGATTAATCATACCTCTGGCAAGGAGTATAAGTTGAAGCCAATTGGGGATGCTGGGCCTGTGATTGAGGCTGGTGGGATTTTCGCCTATGCAAGAAAGACTGGAATGATTCCTTCGCGCTAAATCTCAAGGCTGGATTTTCCAGGTAAGTATCTTTGTTCTATTTGTACGTGATTGATATATTTGGTTGAAACCTATGTGTTGCAGATAGTTTCTACTTTTCTCCATAGGCACTGGCTGCTGTGTGTTTACTTGATGCTAAAAGCTTTGTTTTTTCCTTTTCTTGTACACGTTGAATTATGGCTTATTCAGTACTAGAAGTCTTTACGAATTAGTTTTAGATACATCCTTGAAAAATAAAAGGAAAACATGAAACATAAAAAGCACATAATAACAGTTTTGGAGTATAAGGAATTTACATCTTGTCCATGCTATGTTTTCGTGGAAGCCAACCCACTTTCTCCTCTCTGAGAGTCCAATCTTTTGTAATTCCCTCCATATCCATATTAGGTCATTCAAGCGTCTTTCATTCCCTCTCTAAAATCTATGCCCGCCCTCCGCCCATTTGACTGATATTCTGCTTGTCTCAATTGTTGACATTGAAGTTCAAAACCTCGTATTTCTTCTCTAATTTAACTAATACAAACATGTGTTATGTCAAGGATATGGAAAAGTGCGGTGCCCTACAAGTAGGTAATGGGAAGTGGGCTACTCCCCGAAGAAGCCCGTACTTTGATTAATACAAGACCATTACTTCTTTATGTTAATTGATACTGACATGCCATTGTATTAATAATATGGCATCTGATAATTCGTGTTGAATATTTGGGTTATTTAGTAACCAATGCAAACAACAGAACTCAAAAAACATTCTAATTAAACAATTAGGAAGAAAGAAAGAAAAGAGGGAAAAGAATTAGTGTCAATTTGTGTGGACGGGGTATTCTTTTGGATTAGTACAAATGGGTGATCGGTGAAACGTCACCTGTCCATTTAGACCCAATCGCTAATTGTGCTGTGTATATCAATCAATTGGTCACAGATACATTTGGTCAATCCACAACCTGCATCTGGCCTAACAATAGTATTTCTTGTTATCATTCTAATATAGCTCCTTATTTGAATAGTGACTGTTCGACTTGTCCATTATAGAAATATCGTATTGCAAATAACTGAAGTGTCGAGGCCAACTATTTAATATAGCTTAAATATTACCTATTCTAGAATCAAATTGTTTTAGTTTGTGGATTTCATGATTGAGTCGCCTTAGATTCCAGTTGTTCCATACATATTAGTAAATATTTTTTATTTAATTCTAAAACATGGAGTACATTAAGAATTCAAATTGCAAAGTGACACACACAAATTAATGTTGAATCCATGTATAATGTTCGGGAATAGAATAGGAATTACAAGCTAATTATTGTTGATAGCTAGCACAGGCATGGAAGGACAGGAAAGAGAACAGATACTTCTGTCAAGTGTTTAGTATTTCATTGGAGATATTCTAAAGAAGTCGGAGTTAACTCGTTCTTTGAATTAAGACAGTGTTATTTAACTTTCCATAAAATTAAATAACCAAAATGCTAGCTGGTCCATGTGCTCAACCAAACATGAGCCAAAATTTATAAATATTGTACCAAATCTAGTTTTTTTTTTCCCCTTTCAGAATTAAAATCCAAGATAAAATTTGAAGAACTTGCATCCTATTGATGTTAATTTTTTGGCAAATTCAAATAGTTTGACTACAGTCCGTGTTTCTAAGTTTCTGTTACTGCTCATCCGCATTTCACGAGCAATTGATGAGTGGTTTTTGCTTCTTGTTCTTTTGTTTATTGATCTTTTCCTGCTTGTCCAGTCTATGAAAGCAGATCGCAGTTTAAAGCCCGTCAATTAGCTAGCATACCCTACCACTTAGAAAGACGGTGACGAAAAAGTTGTCACAAATCAACCCTACTTCCTAGATCGGTCCTACTTCGCTTTTTTGAGACTGTTTTCTAGAATTGTTATTATTGTTTGTTGTAGTGATCATCAGTACTAAAATGTAAACAACATATCATTCAATGGCTCAACTCAAAGCAAAATTGTGACATAAGTTTTGTATCCAGAGCCTATTGCATTTCCCTTGGTTATTGCCAAATAATAGAAGCTGACCACAGAGACAGCTTTTTTCCAACAATAACTATATGCTATTTTTTGTGAATAGTTTTTTATTGGAAAAATAGTTATGAACGTGTGAATTATTCTTCTGTTATTCACTATTAGTGTATGCACCTTTTTTGTTTAACCTATATGAGAAAGTTTCTTCTTGTGTTTTGTTGTTCTTGAATCCATTACTTGGGTGGGCATGTCATGTGACTCAATACATGTCCATGTTTTTATTTCTGCATAAATGGATTGATAAATAAATGGAGATTGTATTTGTTGCTGAAACAATGAATTTCTGATTCCTCCGTATAGTATTTCAATATTGAAATCCCAAACATGGAAGAGAATAATGTTTCAGTTTAAACCTTAAACGTCTCACGTCTTTTGTCCAAAATGGGAGAAACCTTTTGGTGGTTTGGGGCTGGATAGGGTTAGAACAATCTATACAATAATAGATGTACATTTTTGTCATATATTATGCCTATAACTCATCATATTCATTAAACGTTTTCCTACAGGTTTTGTGTTGTTGATGGACTACTTTTGTCGGACTGGTCAGGATCTCTATTCATTTTCTAGATGTAAAATGCAATAAACTTCACGTGATGTTAGGAATAATGTATTTCTATGAATTATTGTATTGCTGATATTGAATGTTTATCATTTCTGGCTGTGTTCTAGATCATCATGTTAGGCCAAAAATTGATAACTGGGCGGTAATTTACTTGTATAAAGTTCAAAAACAAGTACATTAGACATTTGAGTTGGGCATTTTGACGTTTCTTTTCCCTTTTTTGGCATCTGTTCAAAAGTTGAGCGTGTGGATGAAGTGGTTTAACTGATGGTTTTTTTGAAGTTCACGTCAGCATTTCTATGTAGAATTTTCTGCTAGTCGGGTTGACAAATGTGGACGAAGTGGTTTAACTGTAACAAAATCGAATGTGAGTAACTGATTTGAAACAAAATGAAGTTCAATGAGCAACATTATTTGTTCATCACTTCTCCAAGCTAGATTCTGTATTAATACAATACTTTTGCTGACGAATATTTGCTATTGACAATCTGCCGCTGCATTTGAAGACACTGACTGCCAAAAAACTATCTCAAAGCCGGGATACGGGATCCCAGAATCCTGGCATATATAAACAGAATGGAGGAAAAAATGACAGCATATGCAGCCACCTTGCTTGGTGGTGATATGGCTATAACAGACACCATGTAGCTCAGCATCAAGAAGATGATGGATACTTGCAATAGCAGGCTGTAGCGGCTATTTTGGATAGTAAAAAGAATCAAACCAACTGAGCCAATGAAGGCTATTGTGTTGAAATAAAGAAAGGGATCAATAGTGTCTTGGGGTAATGCTACTGTAACAGGACGATCAGAAGATGGGCTTTTTGAGGTGGCGACACTGCCGGTCATGGTGGTGGTGTTGGTGGTATCAGCTTGTTTTAAGTCCACCAGGGGGGCTGAGCACATCTTGGTATGTGGTTGTAGCAATAAGTAGTCACCACTAGAAGGGCATTGCGCATTTCTCTTGCCAGGCCCTTTCGCATGTAGACATCATATTGAACAAATTTTTCTACATTTCATTCCTGTGAACCCATGAAATCTGCTAAACTAACATTCTTGTGACGCAACGAAGCTCTTGAAGCTCCTGCACGGCATAGATAGATCTTAATTTTGGTGTTCATTTCAGCCGGAAGAGACATGGCAATATCAAGTGCTGTCATATCTTGCGAGTTCTTGTCATTGACGTTATTCATGTTCTTGAGTACCTCAGAACCTGCATATTTGCTAGAATTCTAGTTAAAGGAAGTTAGACAAATATGAAATCAATAGACATGCCAAAAGACCATGGGTAGAGATCACGAAAACGTGAGCAATATAGGGCATGTAATTGATGCTTTATGCGAAAATGATCTTCCTTCCAATTTAGGTATATTGTCCTATCATACTGAAATTCTCTTAAATTCCCAGTCCATCGTATTGGTTAAGTTCTCTATTGCATATTTCAGTTGGGTAGATTGTTTGTGTCGGGCATGTACACTTCTCTGACACTCTATCATGATCATTTTATTTTTTTTATTAAAAAGATTATATATTTTTAACTCAAAATTATTAGTAAATAACAAATAGGTACACATATGTAAAAGATTTCAATAAGAAAAATTAATAACAAGTATAAAACTGAATTTATACTATATAAATGAAGAATTTTAAAGAATTGAATCNAACAAATAGGTATTCATATTTAAAAATTTTCAACAAGAAAAATTAATAATAAGTATAAAATTAAATTCATAATATATAAATGAAAATTTTAAAAAAATTAATCAGCGTGTCAACGATGTATCGTGTTGGTACTTTTTTGAAAAATCGTGTGTCGACCTATGTGTCGTGTCGAACACACTTGTTCGAGTCGGTTCATCATAGGTTAAGTTATAGTTCATATTGTTATTAGTTGAAGGTCAAGTCTTGAGCTCCCTCCGAAGTTTGTACTTGCTTCTTTGTTTCTATAGTAGTATCGACAAAAACTAAGACCTTATAAACAAAAGAATGCTAAAAGATATTAATGTTGGAAGGGATGAATGACCTGGGGTTGGTTTGTGGATGCAGCTATATGCAGCACTGTGTTGCCTTCCTCATTCTTCCAATTCAGTATTTTTTTGTTGTTTGTCCTCTGAATTCAACCCAACAGAACACCTAAAGCATTGTCACCTCTGGTTCTCACAACAACATGTACCGCAGTATCCCCACAAGCTGTCAAATCCTTGATCGATTCCGGGCAAGAAACAAGAAATTCAGCTAGAAGCTCAACGCTGTTTATTTCTGCTGCATAATGAGAGGGTGTAATCCTTTCCCTCCCAGGAACATGAATAGGTGTTGGGTCACATTTTACAAGCCTTTTTACAGTCTCAACAACGTTGATGTGCAAAGCTAGGTGCAAGGGAGTAAAACCATCCGGATTTAGCTTTTCAATAAACGAAGGCTTTAAGCTCATGATTTCGATTGCAAAGTGTGTGTGTCCAGCAGATGCAATTATGTGTAAAGGTGTGGACAAATGGTATACTTTCAATGTCTTCTAGGTTCAAATTCTGTCCAGGGATTGAGTACAAGCGATGGACATCTCCTGCTTGTGCAACTTCCTCCAACAGTGGATCCATTATAGATTCGGCTAATGTGGGAGCCTTGTGCAAAAAATCTTGAGGGAGTAAATGATTATTCTTTACCAGTAACCTTATCTAAATAGTAAATATGGAACTCAGACGACCGCCTCACTTATCTAGAGATTGGGATTGAACCGCCTCTTATACCTTATGCTTGGCACATTCCAGTCCTAAATATTGCTTTATGTTTCTGGAAAATCAAGAAACTGAAACAATATATTTCACAGAACATTACAATCTGCGTAGTTTGTCATTCCTTGATCTTTTTGATTGTTTCTTATGAAATTCTTAGATTATAGGCTTAATGCTCTCCTTAGATTCTGCTATTTGTTATCAAATTAAGAGTTGAAATTTTTATTTTTATTTTTTTTAAATTCTGACAGGGATATACACTGTATAATCATGGGATCAAAAATAATAAAATTATAGCCTTTCATGATCACCCCCCAATCTCATCCCTTTTTTTTCAACACTTAGATGGCAAGAAATTAATTAAAATTAATAATTAATGAAGCTGGTTTAAGACGATGATACAAAAACTATGGAAAGTAGATTATAAGTCATGTTCAACATTGTTATTTAATTAAGTTAACCTTAAGACACTTTATATGAACTTATACGGTCGGATCCATACCTTTTGGAATCCATCGATCAGGTAAAGTTTGTTGATACCCCTTTACATGTAGCTGCATCAAGAGGCTTAACCAGCTTTGCAATAGAAATCATGAGTTTAAAGCCCTCATGAGCTAGGAAGTTGAATTTAGAGGGGTTTAGTCCTCTGGACTAGGCTTTGCGCAACGGATATGTTAACACTGAGAAGATTCGTACAATATGATCGTGATCTTATACGCGTTCAAGGAAAGGAAAGGATTACTCCATTGCATTATGCAGTAAAAACAAATGACACTGACCTTTAGGCCTAGTTTCTGCTGGCTTGCCAGCAATCTATCAATGACTTGACTATTCGAGACGAGAATGTTGTGCATATTTCTGTGAAAATAAAAGGTATAGATTGAAGGGAAATGGCACAATGATGCCACTGCCCATTGGGCTAACTGAGTTGGCCCAGCTGGAAATCATTGGAGGCTCAGCTTCTGTTGTGTTTTAATGGTGCAAAAGCGTGAATTGATGAAGGCTGAAACCGTGTTTTTACTTACCTGGTTCTTTGGACTCCTTTGATGTCACCACGTGTCGCCTCCAACACCGTTGGATTGTTGGCTGTTGAGTGACTCATTTAAAAGGGGGCTTCTAGGGTTTGAGACTTCACTTGGCTTCGAGACTCTTCCAATTTCTTGTGCTTTCTGCACGTTCTTCGAGTTCTCTCTTCTCTTCTCTGTTGAAATCAAATAATCTCATTTGATTTCTGTTTTTCA